ATATATATATATATATATATATATATATATATATATATATATATATAATGTATGTATTTCACGAATATTGTCATTAGTAGCTCATATTCAATTAATAATGCATAAAATAATAAGTATTCTTAGAAACCAATCTTTTTTAATATGCTTTTAAAGTTTAATAAGCTTTTGTAAGCCCTTCTAATGTGACTGCAATAGTACTTATGTTGTGTACAAATTGCTGTCTGCTAATCAAAATGTTGTTAAAAGGTATGAAAATTAAAATTTGCATAACAATTTCCTTTTTCTGCAGTGAATCAGACATTCTTCACCATGACAAACAGTATGAGCCTTTCTACTCGTCCTTTGTGGCTCTTTCTGCACATTACATCACCACAGTTTGTGGGCAAAGTATGCATATTTCTTTTTCTCTTTTTTATTGGCAATACATAAATATAACCACAGCCAACATTTAGCAAAAGCATTAAGTTTTTTTTTTCTTTCAGCCACCTAATTATTTTTTATGTATGTTTTTCTAGTACCAAGAAATCAGTTGCTGTCGGTTGCAGCAGCATGTAAGGTATTGATTGAATTCTCATTGCTGCGCCTGGAAAACCCTGATGAAGCATGTGCAGTATCACAGGTGAGATAAACAAGCTACAGTGAGAAAATGTAATGCAGTACTATCAACTACATTCAAAGAAGCTTTGTTTCTTGGTTCTAAGCTACACAGGTCATCTATGTTTGCTTGTTTCAGTTATATGTATTTTTACATGCTTAATTAAATCAAACATAATTTACATATTTCTACACTTTGTTTATTTTACAGAAACACCTGATTCTTCTGATAAAAGGACTTTGTACTGGCTGCAGCAGACTAGATCGCACAGAGATCATTACTTTCACTGCTATGATGAAGTCTGCCAAGTTACCTCAAACTATCAAGACCCTCTCAGATGGTAAGTATCTACATTGACAGTAGATCAGTAGAAGTATCTACATTACATACTTGGAAATTGATTATGGCTTTTGGAGAGGTTTTGGCTTAAACGGTGAATGTTCATGTCTGCGAGTTCCCTCTATTGACTACAATGATTTAAATAATAATAATAATATCCATCCATCCAGATTTGTTGTGGTTCTTTTGCAAGGGAAGGAAAATCAAATGAAATTTTTAGTTCTCTGATAACTGATTAGATAATGTATATCCTTTTTTATTTATCAGTGGAAGACCAGAAGGAGTTGCCCAGTACTGTGAACCCAGAGCTTCGACAAAAAGAAGTACAAATGAACTTTTTTAATCAGTTGACTTCTGTTTTCAATCCGGACCTCACCACCATCCTGTCCTCTCCCTCAGCAGCACACATGCAGGTAGGTTTGATGAGTGAATGGCAGTTTTGAGTTCACCAGTTGTTATTTATTTATTTATTTATTTATATCAATTCTATCAATTTTAATGTTTTGTCACAGTTGTTTTTATTTAATTTTTTGTAAATATGAATCAGAATTGTGCTTTTTAAAATCTCACAGGCTGAGAGTGATTGTGATGACCAAACCACAGATCAAGCCGTTCAGGTCAAAATGAAGAATGCTTTTGTCTCTCAGAATGTGTCAAGCTTACAAGAACTTGGTGAGTTTCAAGGCACTTTGGGTTTTCATACTAATTTCAACCGTAACAGTTTGTCTTGTCCCTGTTATTTTTGAAAATGAAAGGCCATTATTAACACCCTATACCCCCTCCCCCGAATAATTTGTCTTTCTAGGTGGGTCTGAAAAACTACTACAAGTGTGTCTCAACCTGCCCTACTTTCTACGTTACATCAACCGCTTCCAGGATGCAGTTTCAGCCAACTCTTTCTTTATCATGCCAGCCACAGTGGCTGATGCCACAGCTGTTCGCAACGGGTATTTATTTATGCTAGATTGATATGATCTGATGTCAAACTGAATCTCTCTCACTTTGAGTTATTTTGATGAATAGATGTGTTTACATGTTTGTTAAGACATTCAGAAATGGGCATTTAAACACTTGACCGAAAAACGCGTTTTTCTTACTTAGATTTCACTCCCTGGTAATTGATGTCACCATGGCTCTGGACACACTTTCCTTGCCTGTACTAGAACCTCTGACACCAGGGAGACTGCTGGATATGACTGTGCTGGCCTTGAGTTGTCTCTATGCCGGTAGGTGTTGAGTCATTGGGGAAAAGTAAATTCTGCATTTTAGTAATTCATACTGTTTTAAACCAAACAACCAGACAGAACTGAATTAAAACCAGGGATGTGAAATGTGTCCTTCAGTACAGTAGACTGTAAGGCTACTACTACTGCTGTTTCACTTATTCAGTCACAAGCTGGATACAACAGTGTTAAAATTATTGTCTGTGTATTGTTGAAAGTTGGTTTGTTGACTCTAAAAAGGCTGTATATCCATATTTGTTTAGGTGTGAGTGTGGCCACGTGCATGGCCATTTTACAGGTTGGTAGTGGCTTGCAGCTTCGCTCTGCCTCCACTGGAACCAAAGAGGAGGATTATGAAAATGATGCTGCCACAATTGTTCAGAAATGTGTGAGTTTTATGAGTACATTTGTTAAAACTAACGTGGGGACGCCTTTAATTTATTAGATAACTTGGATAAAAGGGTTATAAACAAAAATAAGATTCGGTATTTGATTTAACAACATTTAGCCTTTAAAAACATTTTAATACGCTTGCATGAACCAGGTTTTGTTGCATTAAACTTTCTTTATATTATTGTTCTTTGATTTTATTGTATTTGTACCTTGATGCACAACATAAAAAAAAAATTCTCCCGACAGCTGGAAATCTATGAAATGATTGGACAAGCAATCAGCAACTCTCGAAGAGCTGGAGGAGAGGTGGGTACCATGATTGATGAGCATACCAGAGTAGTGAAAGAAAAAAATGGCATTGCAAAATCAATATATATATATATATTTTAATTGGTATTTTTTTTCCCTTCTCACTGCATTAACTATATTTGAAGTTCATTTTAAGGAGATACTAATTTGGGAACTTCTGTCCACCTCAGCATTATCAGAACTTCCAGCTGCTTGGAGCCTGGTGCCTCTTAAACAGCCTGTACCTGATTCTTAACCTGAGCCCAACTGCCCTGGCAGACAAAGGGAAAGAGAAGGACCCCCTGGCCGCTCTGCGCGTTAGGGATATTGGAGCTCGCACAAAGGATGGGGCAGGATCACCTAAACTTGGTCCTGGCAAAGGGTAATTCATAATAAAGAACATCATAAATGAAGTTGTGTAGAATCGTTATGTAGGGACATTTGACGATTTTACAAAGTTTTTCTCAGTGTCCTCAGGAAGTCACAGGAAAGGGTTGTATTTAAATCTCCCTACCTTGAATATAAAGTAAATTAACTATTTAAAAGCGTGAATAGCATATTTATTGCAATGTGGTTTGTAATCAAATATCAGTGGATTGTGCGTTATTATTTTTTCTTCTTTTTTTTTTTCTTCTAGACATCAAGGGTTTGGAATTTTGTCTGTCATTCTGGCCAACCATGCCATCAAACTTTTGACTTCACTTTTCCAGGATTTGCAAGTAGAGGCGCTACACCGGGTAAGTAAACAAGCTAAATGTACCATACAAAATATAATTTATCAACCATATTTTTCTAATAAGTAGCTGACTGTAATTTAAAAAGAGTTTTTAAAATAAGGAATAGATTGTAAATATCAAGCAGATCATTTCTGCTGTCATTCAAAAATACTGATTAATTATTTACTGTTATGCTCAAAACATGTAAAATTAATATTTTTAGGTTTCGAAGTGTTTGCAGTTAGTGAATTGTTAAGGTTAGTTGCATCAAAAGTAGTAGTACTCATCTGTTGGGTATGAGCTGCTGGGAACAGCCATGTTGCCAGCAGCGATTACTTAAACTGCACCTACACCCGGGGCAGGTGGAGATTAGTTCTTAGAAGAAAGTAAGATCTAGTTCCTTTGACATTTACAACCTGAGTCAACTTACACCAATTCAACAATTCAAACAGAAAGAAGTGAGCTGGATAAACAGCACAAGATTGTAGAAACATATTTAATTATGAGTGAACTTGTTTTATAAAAGTTAAAATTGTTTTGTGGCAGGTGCTTTACTATAATCTAGGGTAACAGCACTCTTGGCTATTGTCTCCGGTTGCATGTTTGACTTGCCACTGGTTTGAGTGTTGTGCCGTATAACACTTCCTCTGCTTTAGTTGCATTTAAAAACCTTCCCAGTTGTTTGTGTGACCTCTCAGTTGTTTTTGACAGATAGCTTGCCACATTTTCCCCCTCCCTACAAAAAGCAGGCACACAAGTTTGCAAACCAGTTGAACTAGGTTTTTTAAATTTCTGTTTCGGTTTATAAAGCATTTAGTGTGACAGAGTTTAGTAAAATAAAAACTGAGAATGCGATAAGTCATGTTTGTTCTTTTTACATCTCCCCCCACCACCTTGTCTGCAGGGTTGGGCAAGTGATGGGCCACCTGCTGAGCTCAACATCATGGCACAAAGCACTTCGATCCAGAGGGTTCAAAGACTCATCGACTCTGTGCCCCTGACAAATCTATTCTTCAATCTTCTCTCCACTTCCTACAAAAAGGTGCATATACTTATATCAATTGAAAATTAATAGCTGGTTTTCTCTATATTTTATTGTATATTTTGACATGCCACATAAAGTGAACAGCTAGATTTGCATTAGGCAGGCATTTAAAATGAGTAAAGGGAATTTTTGGCTGCAGTATTTTTTCCTCTACATGTAGTATATAATTAGAGGAAAAAAGGAATGACAAATATTTTGAGAGTTATATGGGAAACCCTAAACATTGTTTTTCTGTTTGCTTCCATTAGGCTTGTGTTCTCCAGCGCCAAAGGAAGGGCTCAGTTAGCAGTGACGCAAGTGCTTCTACAGATTCAAACACCTACTATGAGGATGATTTCAGCAGTACGGAGGAGGATAGCAGCCAAGGTACTTCATTTTTTTTGGATTCAAGCAATATATTAATGCTTAATTTATCTTTTTTAAATGTATTGGTAACTCAAGTCCTAAAAAAATGTTTTACACTTGGGTACTTATTCACGTACTTTATATCTTTATATTCGGGCACCTATTTAGATAATTCATCTGCATTTAACTGTCATGAATTTACATTCAGCCAGTTGACAAAGACATATGAAATGTTAATTCTTTATTAACAATATCAGAGACTGGTCAGCCAACAGAAAATATAATACAGATGTCCTTATCACTTAATGAATGAGTTGACCACCAGAGATTTACAAACCTTGTAAAATGCTTACAAAATACACCTGATTACTGTCCTCAACATTTTCCACGCCGGGGATGAAAACAGAATCATGTTTGTTTTCAGTATTTGACCTAGTGTCAGAGCAGATCTGTATGCTTATGTAAAGCAATAGCCAGGTAACAGCTTTAAATGGTAAACCCATTCAAATGCACACATGTCAATAATCCTTTTGTATTCCTTCATTACATAATGACAGTGTAGTTGACAGTGTTTACTATTTCAGCAGAGAGAAGAGAGGAGAAGACAAATGCTGCTTGTGTCTCAGGTCAGAAGTTTTCTGTCCTCAGGTCAAAGCCTCAGTGTCCACATTGCTGTCTCAGATTTCTTTTTTTTTACATTTTTTATTATTATATTTCACACAAATTAGTCTCTGAGTTGTGAATCAAATGGACTAGGGGAAAATATGAACAGACTTCACTATAACAAGTGGCTTTTCTGTGTAATAAATATAAAATAATTGCATTGTCTGTGTCAGAGGTTCGTCTGTGGCTCTTTGTTTCCCAAGGATCATACCAGTGCTTTGATATGTGGGTATCTGTTATTTTAGTACTGCAACATTTTATTACAGCTGACCAGTGAAATTCAATTTTCATTCCTATTTACTTTTTAGTGTGTTCAATAAACACATTGTTCATAAACTTTGTTATGCAAATTAGACTTATCATTTTGGTGACTTTTGTCTCACCTTTTATTTTAACGGACATAAACCCAAATGCCTCTGACAGAACTACTTCTTTGAAGCCATAATAGCTGTCTAAATACACAATTTTATTTTATTTTTTATTAGAATGTTTTATGCGCCTTTTATCAAGGCCAATGCTTCTTTATTGTGATTCGCATCGCATGTGGTACATGTGGTGGAATGAAATTGTGTACACAAGGTCCCAGTTACATCCAACAAAAGTATGAACTGCAAAAGAAAAACAGTAATAAGATCTAAGAAATACACTGTTAAGAATACGCTAAACACTTAATAGTGCAAAAACAGTAAAACACCGAATATCAGCAGCACGAACATGAGTCTGCGTGAGCAGAAGAGTATGAATGAACACAGCAGCATGAACATTATATGTATATCTATGATAAAACAACCACTAAATATGCATAATTCACTACCAGAAGTGTACCACATAATTTGTAATAGGTCAGTAAAATAATCCTTGGCTGTAAACCTTAGGAGTACAGTGGAATGAAGAGACATCTGGTCAAAATCAAAAAGCTAAAGTTCTTCTCTCCTCTGAAAAGAAACTACAACTAAAAGCTGAGGATAATTGTCAACAGAAGTGGAATTCTTTGTTCTAGAATTGCGCCGCTCAAGGTGGCTGCATGTTGGAGCAGCTCTGTTACTTTCATTCTGAGATTTTGCTTTTGGAAACTTTAATTCCTGGTTTTCTGGATGTAAATCACATTTTTTGGATGATTGTTTCCTCTGGTATTGGATGCTGTGCAGCTGGAAGGATTTTTACTGAGACTTTTTTGGTTTTGGACATTTGTTATGATGCGTAACCATGGCAACAAGGCAGCTTTCTACAACAACATCAGCTGGTTAACCTCTCAAAAGCTCAAATAATATCTCAACTATGGTCCCAACTCTCAAATGAGTTGAAAAGGATGTTCTGTGGACGCATTCTCATCTACCGGCCAGCTGTGCTCAAGTGCCTGACCACTGAGATCCTGGAACTAGCAGGAAACACGGCTCATGACAGCGGAAGGACAGGATCGTCCCTCAGCACCTACAGTTGGCTGTCCGCAGCTATGAGGAGCTCGGCAGACTGCTGGGAGGAGTGACCATCAGCTCTGGGAGGAGTTCTGCCCGGCATTCGGGCGGTCCTACAGCCCAGGGGAACCGAGAGGCCAGCCGAGTCAGGGTGGACGGATCGGACGGCATCTGCAGCCAGTTTCTTAGGATCCACTGTGGGATGGACCTTTACAAGAGACCCTTCCTGTCTACAGCCATCAGTATCTATAACATCTCTTAATGAAATGAGGATAACAAGTTATAACAACAAATAATTTCCCTTTGGGATTAATAAAGTATTTTTGAATTTAATTGAATTGAATTGAATCATTTTGGGGGAGGAAATCGAGCGCCTTAGAGCTTTAAGCAAAGGTCAGGGCTAAGATCATAAACAAATAAGATGTGTAGAGGTCCCCCCCCCCAAAAAAAAAAACAAAAAAACAAACAAGATGAGCATCCTCCCAAGGAACTTAACCTTGGGGACACTGGGTGAGAAATAATTGCAGTTTTTTAGAGCAGTTGTTAGAACACCTTAGTGAGTTTTAACCCCCAAACAATTAATCAATTATGTAGAAATTTGGTTAGAAGCATAAAAATTCAAATAAAAACACCGAAAAACTGTATTTTAACAGCTAATATGGCTTTTTATGTCTGTTTTCAACAACTTTATCAATTTACATGACTGCAAAAAGTTTTTGGCAGGTGTAAAAAAAAAAAAAAAGCTCAAATCTTTTAACAAAAATAAATTCTAAAAAACAAAAGGTGCTATTTTTAAAGACAGGTTGGTCACAAAAAATATTGATTTTATTTATGTATTTATTTAATTTTGCTCACCTAGCATTGAGTGAAATGACAGAAATAAACAAAACATAATTATTTTTTTTTTTACTTGACTGTATTTTACACCTGCCAACAACTTTTGTACTGTGTAAGTTAATGTTTTTATTTATTTATTGTTTTAATGAAATTTTAGTCTTCTTAAATTTAGAGCTGTAGGAATTATGGTACTTTTTAAAAAAGTTAGACAGACCCACATCAAAATATTGGTATCATTCTTAAACACAATACTTTAAGTTGTACTTACAAGGCTTAAACACACTATGCTTCATCTTTCTATCACCTACAAAAGTTTTGATTTTTGTATGTTGCATGCAGATGTGAAGAAGAGCTTAATGTGATGTTTTTCAAACCACAACACTTATTTGTCATGTTTTTGTGTTTGATAATGATCTCACTGCAGTCAGGAAGGGTCATCTACAAATAGGTTTGAGTGTTTTATGTGTTGCGTGTCAAAACAATAAGCGTTTAATATCTGATGGACAAAATTAGGCCAATTTTTTTTTCTGTAAAAGCTGTCATGATGTAGCCAGAGCTGTTTTTGGGTTTAGAACTGTTATTTGGCCCATCCCTTAAACTGAACCCTGCAGATAAAACATATGTAGACATTTTTTACAGGATGGTTCAGGGAATCGAGTAGCAGAATATTCTTGTTTTAAAGCCTTTACCCCATGAACATTGAGACAATTGTGTTCTATGAAGTGAAAGGCTTCTGTTGTCTTTGGCTTCTTCTCAGCCCACCTTAGATTTGAGAGTGAAGTTCTAAAGAGGTCTGTTGAGCCTGTAGTTCCTGCCATCCATCCATTATCTTTCGCTTTTCGCAAAGTCGGGTTGCAGGGGCAGCAGCTTGAGCAGGGAGGCCTGGACATCTTTTTCCACAGCCACCTCTTCCATCTCTTCTGAGAGGACTCCAAGGCGTTCCCAGGCCAACTAAGAGACATAGTCTTCCAGCGTGTCCTGGGTCTTCCCCGGGGTCTCCTCCCAGTTGTACATGCCCAAAGCACCTCCCTAGGGAGGCGCCCAGGGGGCATCCTTACCAGATGCCCGAACCACCTCAACTTGCTCCTCTCGATGTAGAGGAGCAGCTGTTCTACGCAGAGTTTCTCCCGGATAACTGAACTTCTCGCCCTATCTCTAATGGAGAGTCCAGCTACCCTGCAGAGCAAACTCATTTCAACCGCCTGTATCCACGATCTCATTCTTTCGGTCTCTACCCAGAGCTTGTGACCATAGGTGAGAGTAGGAACGTCGACTGACATGTAAACAAGAGAGCTTCACCATACAGCTTAGCTCCCTCTTCACCACAACAGACTGGTACAGAGTCCACAATACTGCAGATTCTAAATCAAACCGTCTGTCAATCTCACGCTTCATTTTTCCCTCACTCATGAACAAAACCTCAAGATATTTGAACTCCTGCAATTGAGGCAGAATCTCACCCTCGACCTGAAGAGAGCAATCTACCCTTTTCCGGTTGAGGACCATGACCTTAGATTTTGAGGTGCTGATTCTCATCCCAGCTTCTTCACACTTGGCTGCGAACTGCTCAAGTGAGCGCTGAAGATCACGGCACGATGATGAAAACAGGAGCACATCATCTGCAAACAGCAGAGATGGAATCCTGAGGCCACTGAACCGGAATCCCTCCGCCCCCTGGTTGCACCAAAAAATTCTGTCCATAAAAGTTTTGAACAGAATCGGTGACAACGGGCAGCCCTGGCAGAGTCCAACTCCCACCCTGAAGGGGTCCGACTTATCAGCAATGCGAACCAAACTCTCGCACCACTTGTATAGGGACCGAATAGCCCGTAACAATGGGCCCCCAATCCCATACTCACAGAGCACCCCCCACAGTGTACCTCGAGGAACACAGTCAAATGCCTTCTTCAAGTCCACAAAACACATGTAGACTGGATGGGCAAACTCCCATGACCCCTCGAGGACCCTAGTGAGGGTAAAGAGCTAGTGTTCCACGGTCAGGACAGAACCCACATTGTTCCTCCTGGACCTGAGGTTGGACTAATGATCGGACTCGCTTCTCCAGTACCCTTGAATAGACCTTACCAGGGAGGCTAAAGAGAGTGATGCCCCTATAATTGGAGCACACCCTCTGGTCCCACTTTTTGAAGAGGGGAACCACCACCCCAGTCTGCAAATCCAGTTGCACTGCCCCCGATGTCCACGCAATGTTGCAAAGGTGTGTCAACCAAGACAGCCCCACAGCATCCATAGCCTTAATTAGAAATGCACCGATCCAATACCAATATCGGTATCGGTCCCGACATTGAAAAAGTCTTCTGGATCGGGTATCGTGACAATGTGACCGATCCATGACTGGGCAGATCTATTCACTGTAATTCTATGCTTTGTGCTCTGAGTAACGTCATGCGCTAGCAAACTCGCTGCACAGATTGTTTTCAAAATGAAGTGAGCGAAAGGATCAGCCATCTGGAACTATTTCACACGACCTCAGCCAACACATTTGACAGCTACGTGCAATACGTGCGCAGCGATGTTCCAAAGGGTGTCACTAAAACTTCCAGCTATAACTCTACCAACTTAATCAAGCATCTCCAGAGATTTCACTCTAAAGAGCACGCCAAGTTTGTTGAATGGAATTCAGCACTGTTTTTCTGTATCAGATCGATATCAGATCAGTATCGACTGATACTAAACCTCAGATATTGGTATCGGAAGTGAAAAAAGTGGATTGTGCATCCCTAGCCTTAATGAAATCGGGGTGAATCTCATCTACCCCTGGAGCCTTGCCGCTGTGTAGCTTTTTAACTACCTTGGCAACCTCATCCACAGTTATGGACAGACCAACCCCGAAGTCCCACAACTCCACTTCTTCCATGGAAGACGTGCTGGTGGGATTGAGAAGGTCTGAGAAGTATTCCTTCCACCTTCCGACGACATCACTGGTTGAGGTCAACAGCACTCCACCTTTAAATTAAGGAACTTTTTTGTTTCTTTGCTGACAAGAGTGAGCTAGGGGTAAGCAAGAGGAAACTTTTCAGTGTTTTAGTATATTTTTTCTATTTCCAAACTTAAATATTGAAAGAAAATTTTTGTTTGGCCACACTTAAATGTTTTTCTCTTATATTTTGCCATTACTGCATGTAAAATGGCTCCAGTTTCATTTAGGATAATTTAGTTTTTATACCGTTGGAAAGCAAATGCACATACTGACAGTTATGTTTAGATTTGTACTCACAAACTTTAATCATTCAAGTTTTTACAAGTTTATTTACCTAGAAAATAATACATTTTGATTAAAAATATTTTACTAGATAGTCCTGGCCAAGACAAACAACGAAATTGCAATGCCAGTTCCTTTTAATTCAAAATTTGGCATTTGTTTTGCTGTTTTATTGTTGGTTAGCAGTTTGTTGTGTCACAAATTTAATTTGTGGCACATTTTTTACAACAACAATGCTGCATTAATACAGCAGCCTGTGTTCTCATTTCAGTGAGCTATAGAGTGGATTGGAGAATAACACGTTATGTATGTTGCATCAAGTGTAGTTTGGGTCCCAGTATTGTTTGTCTCCTTGTTGCGTGTATCACAAAAGCATGTATCAGAATGTGCACACTCAGAACCAGCTATGGATAGAGTTGTGCATGCCAAAATTCTCATGTTTTTGGTGGAATTTATTCAACAAACCCAATTTGAAGTAATTCCTACATAAAAAATTAAAAGATCTTATGATCGTCTTATGATTTTTACAATTTATAGAATATTTAGCTCAGACTTTCTAATAGTTTTAGAAAATGTTTTGCAGTAAGATGTAGTGAACATTATTTTTTAAGATTATTTTGTGGAAGGAAAAGGAGAAAATGTAACATTTGGGATCCTTTTCCCCAGCAACTTTAGTGCCTGAGAAACACGATAAACTTAGTATTTTACTTCCTGTATTGTAAGATCATTTAAACTAATGAAAAAGGAAAACAAGCTTTATCCCAAACAGTGACAGATATTACTTGTAAGAAATGTTAAAGAAATTCATCCTCACTTTGTGTTTTGGTCATTCACAAGAATTAAATAAAATTTTAACTTTTTATTGTAGTCTTTAGTTCTTGTCTTCTGTCTGGATTTTTGTGTAATAATGTGGCCACTACAATACAATACACAAATCCACATCAGTTTTAGAACATTTCCCAATTCCACTCTAAGGAATCTAAATTATCACATTTTTATTGCAGATGACGACAGTGAACCCATCTTGGGACTGTGGTTTGAGGAAACTATTTCACCAACTAAAGATAAAGTGGCTCCACCACCTCCTCCACCTCCTCCACCCCTTGAGACTTCTCCCAGACTAAAGAGCCCTAACAAACAGAATCCAAGTGAAAATGGCAACATTTTAGCGGGCCGTAAGGATCCAGAGCTGGTAAATACTTTAAAGTGCCATTTTTATATCTCAAACAGCTTCTGAAAGTTTTACCTTTTTTTAATGGCATGTGGCACTCAACCAACTCCTAACTGTTCCCCCAGTTCCTCAGTTTGGCCTCTAGCATTTTGAATTTCATCACCACCTCAATGCTGAAGTCCAGGAACAACTTCATCCGCAACTACCTGAGTGTGTCTCTTACAGAACAACACATGGCTACACTTGCTAGTATCATCAAAGATGTGGACAAAGATGTCAAAGGTATGTTTGCCATCAAAGGAACTATTTTGTTTTGTTAGTTTTGTATACTATATTAATTGGTATCATTCATTTTTACTTCCAGGTTCATCAGATGAAGCGTTTTCCTTAGCTCTGTACCACTTCAACCACACACTTGTCACCTCAGATCTTCCATCTCCGGTCTTGCAGGTAAGAAGTTTTCTTTTTTCCATGTTCTGGTACACAAAGGGATACTTTAAACCACTTACCCCTGCAATAAAACCCACAATAAGTTATTGGTTGGTCAACCAGTGTTTCTGTTTTTTGTCTTGTCATTTGCAGAATACTCTTCTTCAACAATTAGGGGTCGCTCCATTTTCAGAGGGTCCCTGGCCTCTCTACATTCATCCTCAGTCATTATCGGTCCTCTCCAGACTTCTTCTGATTTGGCAACACAAAGCCAGTGTTCAAGGAGAGCCAGATGTGCCTGAGTGTATGAAAGTGTGGGAAAGGTAAGACTTTCATTGTTAGTTTTTTCATTTTATCATCTGAATTGATGGAATCACAACTATTGCTGCTTTTCTCATTAAGGAAAAATGTACATGGTTTTATGACTCAAGTTATTTCCAGAGTCAGCGTTGCAGCATAACTGATGCAAATTAATTCATCAACATGTTTAATTACTGCAAGTTTAAATATATTTTCTTTTTTTTTCTACTGACCATTATTGATCTCTTTAGCTTGAAGTAGTCATGATCTTTATGAAGCTATTCAAATTATTCTGCACTAAAATTTTGTCACAGACTCCTATAGTTTTAAATATCCTAATTAATAAAGTGTCTCTGCCCAAGTCCAAGAATTCTACTGTCCCCTAAAGACGATGAAGTACGGAAATAAATTTTACAATATTCTTTAAAGGAAAGCTAATAATAAATCATAAAGTAGTACTAAAGACTTCATTAACATTAAATTTTCAATACTTGATATAGTTTGGGCATATTTTGTTTGTGTTGGGGGGAATCATTATTTAAATATGTTTTTGAATTTACTAAACTTTAAAAAAAAACATTTACATTGACTGTCATTGTCTGTAAAATTATACCTGAGGTGTACTTTAGCTTAGACCTAATCATATTCCTCACTGATCTTTTTCTAGTGTCTTACTCCTGCTATATTTTTTATGCCATTCCCAGATTTTTAGGAACCTTGAAGCAACACACCCTCCAGGGTTCTATTCAAGGAGAAGATGACCTTAATGTAGAACACCTCCAGCTTCTGTTGCTTCTTTTCCATAATCTGTCGGAGCGGGGCCGGCGATCGGTGCTTACCATGCTCACTCAGGCTATTGCTGAAGTGGCGCAGAGCAGAGACTCCCAGCTGAAGTCTGTACCACTCAACATGGCCCGCCTGTTACTCGTCTTTGACTACTTGCTGCGCCACTACTCCAAGGCTCCCTTATACCTTTTTGAACAGGTTAATGTTTCTTTTGTAGTTGTCTCTTCATAGTGGTAACTATATGTAAAAAAGAGATTTGTTTTAAACCATTTCTCACTCAATTTGGTTTACTTTTTATTAAATGAAGTAGGCTTTAATTTAATTGACTTAATTTAAAAAATCAGAGCAACCAAAAGTAATTGATTGTTTGTAATATAGAACTAATTTATGTGTAGAAAGATCGACATATCTTTTGTCCACAATGTCTATTTTGGTGAACTGTTTGATTCAAGTTATTTCTGAATGTCACAGCTAAATAAGAGATGAGTCTTTTTGTCCTTTGACTTCTTGTGTAGAAGAAAATAATGGCTTTAGTTGGAACTGGTAGAACATTACAATAAATGTTTTTTGAATAATAATTATAGGTGCAGTACAATCTACTAACGCCACCATCTTCTGGGCCAAGTTCTGCTCAAGAAGGAGGCAAGCGCAGCAGTCTGCCACTTTATTATGGCTTTAAAGAGGTGGAGGAGAACTGGACTAAACACTGTTCCGCAGGTAAAAACAATACAATTATTTTCAACTGTGACACATTTCATAATGTCCATTTTACTTTTTGTCTTTTGTAAATTTGATGAAGTTTTTGTTAGCAAATAATACATTTCTTAAATAATCTTTTACTTCTTCTTTTTTTTTTTTTTTTTTAGACGCAAATGTCCAGCCCAAATTTTACTGTGTGCTATCTCCTGAGACATCTGAAGATGACATCAACAGACTAGACAACAAGGTAAAAGTTGAACCGTTTTTTTATATTCATTTGATTTTGGTTCATCCATTCTTTACATCACATTTTTTGTTTATATAAATAATATTTATTTATATTATTTTACATATTTTTTTATTTTACTTGAAGGTTTTTTCAAAGCTGGTTAATGGGGGAGTTAAATACGATGAACTGTATGCTTGGCTCATCTCACTCCTGGAAGCTGGTTCTGAGTTTGACACAGCCAGAAGACAAGAAAACAAACCTATCACTCCTATGGTGAGCATACACTACATAAACAAATGCACCTGTTAATCTGCCTGGCAGAAAATGGCTGAATTGTGTTGTGAACATGTTGCCTTTAGAACTTCATGTCTGTTGTAGCTCCATTTTTTTATAGTTTCGTTAAAATAGTTGTATTTTGATTTGCAAATAGACTGGGACTAATGGTGGTGTGATTTTTAGAAGACTTTTACTACAACTTTCTTCAGTAATAAAAACTTGTTGGCCTTTACATGGTCTGTTACTGTCCTAGTGCTGGTGATTAAACGTTTCTTTTTTTATTCAAATGTTTTTCTCTGCACAGGAGGCCTGCTCCCTTCAGTACTACTTTCTGATACTGTGGAGAATCCTGAGCGTGTTGCCACCTTCAAAGGCTTTCATGGAGCAGTTAAAGAATGGTTGCAGCGACCCCAGTGAAAGTGATATCCTGCATACGCTGCGATGGTCCTCACGCCTGCGGGTCTCTACATACGTCAACTGGATAAAGGTCTGTTGATGTTGTAAAGAACTAGATAAAAATCTATTAGCTTATTGAAAACATGGTCTTATTAGTGAGACAAAGATCACGTTTCACAGCCTTTTACGTATCTGTGTAATTTAACATGCACTATATAATGTATACTGTACTTAGTTAATTCTTTGAAATGGTTTGTATTTGATATATATTATCAATGTTTTCCATGACAGGAACATTTGCTTAAACAAGGACTGAAAGCAGACCAAGCTGCCTCGCTTGTTGAGATGACAGCTGCCAAGTGCAGCACTCTTAAGTATGATGTAGAGCTAGCAGAGGAGTACATTGCCAGACAGGTAATGATAACAACTGTCTTCATTATATAGTGTATTAGTTGTTACTGGAACAAGATTTTGTACTTATTTATCTTCCTTTTTCCTGGACAATCTAATTTTTCAGATTTCCACCTTCTCAAGTGTAGATCCAAATGTTGTCCTTCCACTTCATCAGTTGCCTTCTCTTCAAGCTATCTATTCTCTGGATGCAGTCATTTCCAAAGTACAAGTTTCTTTAGATGAGCATTTGTCCAAAGTTGCAATCGAGGCTGATGCCCACAAGTCATCGGATATAACTAAAAACCTGCTGCCTGCCACACTGCAGCTCACTGACATTTACACAGCCTTCACAAGGTGAGAAAGGGCTATTTTTATTGAGATTATTATTATTATTTTACTTTGAAATGTCACATTTTCTGTCATCTTTCATGTATTCTTTATCTTTGCATTTGTGGTCCATATACTGTGTGCACCAGAAATTTATTTTCTATACATGTTCTGTAAAAAAAAAAAAAAAAACAGTTTAGAGAGTAATGGTAATAATTTGATATACAAAATAAATTAATGTTTATGATATGTTCTCATAAAGACCATTCTTTTTAGCTATCAGTTTCCTCTGTGAAGCTTTACTGGTGTTAGAATCAGGTGAATGCAGAGGAAATGCTGTTCCTATATGCCACAATGTCCTTATTTTTTTTTTTTCTTAATGCTTCATATTTTCAAAATTTACAAAAAAAATATAAGGCAA